ATTTCCATCGTACATTTTTCAAATCTCTAGAGCCTTTTTTAAAATGACAAAAATGATGCATTAGACGATGTTTTTCATCACAAACATGAAATGCTTTCATCCACATCATGTATATGGATGTCTCTTTTTTTCACATATACATCACGCAATAATAAAGATGTAAACGACAAAAGATCTTCTTCTGTGCCTGCTTTCATACGTTTCATAAGGCATCATACTTTGTCATACGAAAACGATTTCCTGTGTAATGTGAAAGGCTTTATCTCGGCGTATATATATATATAGGCATAATTTTCTTTTCTTTTCTTAAGGTTAAATATGCAAATATATTACGCACGCCAATTTTTCAATGCCATGAATTTCACATGTGGTGAAGATTTTCAATCTTTATTCACACTTTCTTGTATTGCTGACGCTTTTGCTTTAGTCTTTCTTCTTTTCTTAAATTTTGATTTATTTATGATCATTTTTTGTGCTCTTTTAAGATGGATATGATACTATTGTGAACAGTCGATTTAGTATTCTTACAATTTTTATAAATATCTTATATTAATGATGTCTTTTGCAAGGCTTTTAGATTAGCAAGGAAAGAATGGGAAGTTGAACAACATCAAATATCTAATCATAGCTCTCTTTATTGTTATATTCACTAGTTGTATCTTTAACATAAGCTACAAACTTGTAATGAAGATCCGTAATTATAAATTCGACTGTTAAAACAACAGTTTTAGTCATTTCCTTAACAAGCAAACTTAATTGGCGAATTTTGAATCTGGTTAGCACCTTCAATTAAATTTAATTATTGCTTTGTTGCCGGAAAATTTTAATGATTACGATTATTTGTGTAATTATAGTAAAAGTTTACACAACTTTAAATGGAATATCTTGATATTGTTGCTTTTATGTATTTATTTATTAAGTGAACAATTGAGTGAATTTAAATATAGCTACGATGCATTTACACTGGAGATTTGAAGTTAAGAGGCCTTTACACTAGGGCTACACGTTAAGGTGTCTTCACACTAGGATTTCATGTTTGGGTATTTTCACACTAGAGTTTCATTTTGAGGTGTCTTTACACTAGGATTTCATGTTAAGGTGTCTTCACACTAGACTTTTATGTTAAGGTGTTTTCACACTAGTATTTCATGTTAAAGCATCTTCACACTAGTGTTTCACGTTAAGGTGTCTTCACACTAGAATTTCATGTTAAGGTGTCTTCACACTAGAGTTTCATATAAGGTGTCTTCACACTTAGGCTTCACGATAAAATGTCTTCACTAGAGTTTCATATTAAGGTGTCTTCACACTAGGATTTCATGTTAAGGTGTCTTCACACTAGGATTTCTCATTAAGGTGCCTTCACGCTAGAGTTTCACATTAAGGTGCCTTCACACTATGATTTCATGTTAAGGTGTCTTTACACTAGGGTTTCACATTAAGGAGTCTTCACACTTAGGCTTCACGATAAAATGTCTTCACTAGAGTTTCATATTAAGTCGTATTCACACTACATTCCCGTTATCATTAAATAACAATACAAAAGTTAACTTTAAACAGACAGTAATGGATAAAAGAAGTATAAGAAGCAGCAACCAAGCTTTTGTAGCGTCATTTGATTATTTTAATACGAAAATTTATGTCATGTGATTTGTTATTGTGACATTGCGAGCAACTATGTATGAAACATAAAGCAGGAGATGGCAGGCGAGCAAGCAAATGTGCAGTCTTCTTCCTTCCAAATGATATGATGTTGATGGTGAAAATCCAATGTTTATGCTATCTTACTAACCTTTTCATTGTGCTAGTCATTTGTATAAAGCAGCAAAAAAAAGGAGGAGGAAAGGCAAAAGCGTTTATGTGTGTGATATTTCTTTCTTCTCTTTCCTTGATAAAGCCTTTTGATGCCTCTTGTCGTGGAAAAAAAATGTCGAGACATAAATTTAACTTTATTCCACCTAAAAAAAATCAAAAAATACTTTTTGCCTTCCATGAATTATATAAAGCATAGTAAATGATGAGATATGTGAAGTTTCCCATTCACTTTATTGTGGCTTTCATATTATTGAATGTATGGAGAGAGTAAAATAAGTTTGAGGCAATGGAATAAAATTAGCATAACTTAAAAATTTATGATGCTGAATTTTGAGAATTCAAAAGTTTTTCATTTCTGTCTTTGTCGTGTGCTCATGCTGAAAGTTGTGTTTTGAGGATATTTTATTTTGAAGTTGAATTTTGAGAAATTAAAGTGTTTTAAATAAATTGAAACGTTCTGCTTAAATTTGATGATTTATGAAATTTTTCAACTTACTTTAATTTTTTTTGTTGATATCTTGAACATTTAAGCTTTTGGAACAAATAAGTTTTTTTGAAAAAATGAGCTTTCTGAATAGTTGAGCTTTTTGAACAGTTGAGGTTAAGCTTTTTGAATAGTTGAGCTTTTTGAACAGTTGAAGTTAAGCTTTTTGAATAGTTGAGCTTTTTGAACAAATAAGTTTTTTTAAAATGGGTTTTTTGAAAAAATGAGCTTTTTGAATAGTTAAGCTTTTTGAACAGTTGAAGTTAAGCTTTTTGAATAGTTTAGCTTTTTGAACAAATAAGTTTTTTAAAATGGGTTTTTTGAAAAAATGAGCTTTTTGAATAGTTGAGCTTTTTGAACAGTTGAAGTTAAGCTTTTTGAATAGTTGAGCTTTTTGAACAAATAAGTTTTTTAAAATGGGTTTTTTGAAAAAATGAGCTTTTTGAATAGTTGAGCTTTTTGAACAGTTGAAGTTAAGCTTTTTGAATAGTTGAGCTTTTTGAACAGTTGAAGTTAAGCTTTTTGAATAGTTGAGCTTTTTGAACAAATAAGTTTTTTTTAAAATAGGTTTTTTGAAAAAATGAGCTTTTTGAATAGTTGAGCTTTTTGAATAGTTGAGCTTTTTGAAAATTCGAGTATTTTGATTTTTTAAACTTATTGTTTAGTTGAATTATTCTAAATCTTCTTGATGCCCAATTTCACCATGTTTATTTATAATTACCCACAAAAATATTTATTTAACCTAATAATTAAAACAATTAGCAAACAACCCAGTCAAAGTTCAAACATAAGCATCCTTTTATTAACATAAAATTGTTACATCCTCAAAATTTACATCCAAATTGCTTTATCATCCCCAATACCAAAAGCAATCGAAAACCTTTGCTAAATCGAAAAATAAAAATCATTTATTTGCCGTAATTAGTCAAATTTATTTGAAATTCTTCAGCAATTATTTTCCATCCATTTGCATTTTCCAGATCTTACAACAAGGCATAAAATGTACAATTATAACAATTATCGGGATGGGGACATAAAAATGAGAGAGATGGAGGAAAAAAGGTTAATGAGCATCTCTAATTAATTGTCCCCTCATTAATTCATGAAATTCACAAAAGAGATATTATCATTGATGCTGATATCCATATAAATTTTATGTGGTGTTATGTCAGCAAAAAGCACAAAGATCAGCAACATTGGAATGTATATTTTCCCCATACAATTCAAAGGTCAATTGAGGTTTTGTGTTTGAAAAGCTGATAATTGTCTGGTAATTTTCGTCAATCGACAGAATTATTTGCGGTTGTTGGAAAGTCTTCAGACACAAGTGGAAGGGACGGACAAATTTAAATTAAAATCTGTAATTGGAGATTTTATTGCCTGTATTTAAATTGAGATAGACATGATAGGTAGATCTGTAAAGGTATGAATACAAGCAATTAATTTCACATATTTTCTGTTGCTTTATTGAATTTAAATGAACTGTAATTAGTGACACACATAATTTTGAATTTATTTAGCTATTCAACAATATTTAATGCATTAATATGTAATCAAAAATTTCATTAAAATTCTATTAACTGCTATGGTTCCTGTTAATGCTGCAATAATGTAAATGTTGATGGTCAATTTTAAACCTATTAAAATATTATAATGGTTATTATGAAGTTTAATTTTCTAATAATTGAATGAATTTTTGTTGGCTATGAAAAACTTTTTTAAATTTACTTTAAAGTTTAAAACAGTGGTGGACAACCTTTTTTGTGTCACGGCACACCTTGTTGGTAAGCCATTACAAAAGCCGCACATGTCACATATGGAATTTTATGAAATATTTTTGTTGCACACTGGTGTGTCGCGGCACAAGGGTTTGTCATCACTGCTTCAAACATTTCAGGATATCTGCAACTTAAACTCAAAATTTGTAGATTTTCATAATTTAACCTCAAAAAATTCTTCACGTCACTGGGCTTCAGATTCTCTAATGAGTTCTATTTTTTTTGAGAATTCTAAGATAATTTTAGCTATTTAAGAGTTTTTGAGGAAGAAAAGGGTCAAGTTTGCCGACCATCAAAAACATAATTTTTAGACCCCCCATCCCCCCTCTGTCACAAAACTGACACAGACACGGGCATACGCACAAAAAATTGTATGCCACAAATTTTTTTTACCACTCTCACTCCCCTGTCAAAATAGGTCGCAAATTTTCAAGCCCCATTCCGCCATACCCCCCCCTAAATGTTGGACATTATAAGTAAACGACCTCAAAATGTTTTTAAATTTTTCTGTTGAAATAAAAAAAAAGAAAAATTAAAGAAAAACAAGCCATTTTTTGCTTGCGAGGGAGGTAAGGGGGGGGGGGTGGTGGTTTGATGAAAAATGATCTATTGTGCTAAACCCGAGCCTTTAATAGTTTCATTACTGAGATATTAAAAAAAAGAGAATTGATACTTTATTCATTTTTTAAAAAGAGGAACTAAAAGCTTTTATGTAGCATTTACATAAAAGTAATTGAAATGAATGAAAAGCGCCTGATGTAAAAGAAATTATTGAAAATATTTTTTTAAAAGTTAATTTTTCCATCATTGACTGAATAAAAAGCGAATCGAATAATTTTTTTCAAAAAAAAAGGAAAATAATAATTTTTTCATCAAAAGCAAAGAGAATTTCAATCAAACTAATGTACTACTCAATAAAGCATTCACTCACTTGAACAGCTCGAGTTTATCAATCGCAAATTGCTCATCTCATCACTTCGAATGTAAACGAATTCACTCGTTTGCCTTTTAACATACGGAATGCCTTCAACATTGGCTATACATTTGAGAAACAATTGACCTCGAACGTATGCAAAGCCATTATTTTTGTTATTCAGACAAAATCGAATTTCCATCGTACGAAAATGTATCTTCAGATCACTAATGTCGAACTGTATTTCATATTGTGTCAATTGTACTCGATCGCTAGTCATCTGGAAAATTAATTTTAATCAAATTTTCTAATGCAATATGAATTTTCCGGTTTCAATCGTCTTCAATAGTCAGTTTATCAGTTCTCAACTGAATGTAGGCATGCAAGTTGTGCAATCAATTTTTAATTAAAATGATTTTATTCAACTTGTGTGCAAATGGACACTGGCTTCCTAACGAGAGACGACTTCATTGAGTACATCGGTTTTTATTTAATCTATGTGATAGAGTCACAGGGTGAGTTGGAACCAGAGTTGCGAGACAGGAAGTCTGTCAACAGGTACAGGTGACAGATCTGTTAAAGGCAGTATCAACAGGCAATGAAAGGTGACAACCAATATTTTTTGCCTGTCATAGATCTGTCATTTGCTTGTAGATAAGCAAATGAGAAAGTGCAACTCTGGTTGGGGCTAGTTATTGAACGTTTAATGAGATTTCAGAGAACATTTGGGAATACAGAAATAAATAATCTCACTTAGATGTTGGGGAAGGAGGTTGACCAGGGGCATTGACAGGATTTGAAGAGGGGGGACAAAAATTTTTTTTATATGTAAAATTTAAGGGGGGAGGGGGGGGGGTATTTTTGTGATTTTTTCATAAAAACCCTAGCAAAATAAAGAAATTTTGTTTACGTTGGGGGATTTGTCCCCCCCAGGCTACGCGCTCAATAACATAATCCAATGAAAGCAACTCCAACTTTTATCGCAATCCAACCTCCACTCCCTATCCCTTTAATTCCCGTCTATTGATCCATAGAAGTGTGAAATTATTTTTTAATTAAATACATACCAGTTCACCATTTATAGCCCATGTAATTGTTGATGGTGGAAAGGATGCATCAGATGTGCAATTTGCTTCAAGTACATCGTCGATGTTGTAAATTGTACGTATACCTTGGATTATCGGATCATGACGTGGAAAAGCTGATTTTTTTTCATATCATGAATTACAAAATAAAGCGGATAAAAAAAGCGAGAAAAAGTGTGAAATAGAAAATCTAATTTGTAATTAAGAGTTGTTTGATTGAAGAGATTTGGTCTTGAGATGTCTAGAATCCCGGATGGCACAAGGTGGTTAATCTGCTTCAAGCTGGTGTGACTCTGGCATGGTGCTAGATTTAAAACAAAGATTTATATTCGATTAACCGACTTCTGCTGTTCGGGAATGGTACATGATGAGTTTGGCACCAGTTTAATACTGAACCCTGCTTCATTCCAGCCTATTTCGCCGATTTAATGCTGTGTGCCATTGCAAGTCATCTCAAATCCTCAAAATTCTTCAATCTAGACAATTTCACATCCCTTATAACCTCAACAATATCAGAAAAATCACTCAACACTTTAAAGTCATTATTTTTCACTCGAAATCCAATTAAATGCATCTGATTTATCTGAAAAATTCTCTACATACCGACAACAGTCATTCTCTGATCACTATAATTGATTGTAAAACTCGGCGCATCTGCGGATATTTCACATCGATATCTATGAAGTTTAACAAAAAAAAAAGAAGCGAAAACAATACAATAGGATATGAAAAAAAAAAGGATAAATAAATGATGGTGCTTAAGAGAAAGAACAGCGTCAGATTCGATTGTCATGTCATGAGTCTCACATGCGATATAAAAACAAGAACACTTACACACCACTGCTTTTGCTACTTAAATTGTCTAAACTAACACTACATGTTGTTCTATTGCATCGATATGGATTTTCATTATACAATGTGATGCCAGCAACTGTCCAATTCAATATTTGTTGATCCATCATTGGAGTGTATCTGGATAGAGCAAAGAGAAAGTTTTCAGAGAACATTTTATGTTGAAATGTTCAATTTTGAGCTTTTTTTTGGGATGTACGACAATTTTAATAAATCATGAAGTATTAATGGATGTGTATCGTGCAGTTCTCTTGGGTCAGATGGAATGATAGTTTTTATTGGAATTTAAAAAAATATTTCTAGAATATTGTGACTCTATTTTGTATACATGATGTAGAAGGGGAGGGGAGGGGGGAGTTATATTGCCACAGCCAGGTGCGTAGCCAGGAGAGTCTTGTCCCCCTCATAAGCGTTTTAGACCGTGCTCGCTGCAAGAGCACAGTCACAAGACCCTCCTGGCTCTACGCTTGGCCACAGCTAAGACAAGATCCAAGAAGGTTTAAAATAGTCGCAGATTTCCTAACAAGATCCAAGAGAGCCCAGAAGTGTTCAATAGAATCAGTCAAAGTTTAAAATAGTTCAAGAGATGCCAAGATGTTCCAGAACCACCTCAGTGACAATACAGTAGCGTGCAGAATATTATGGACGGTCAAAAAAATTTCGTTTTTATTCTCAAAAGCATACTTAACGTTGTCCAATTTAGATGAAATTTTCACCACTTATACTGTTTTTCATGTGCTTTCACATGATAAAATATAAATATGCTATAGTTAATAATTTTTGAAAAAACCGTTAAAATTCAAAATCAGGTGCGTGCAAAATATTATGGACGATTCTTTTTTGGTAATTTTTTTTATGTTTAAGCTATTTAAGCTTACTTTTTAAACTTTAAACATGAAGTTCAAACATTTTACTCCAATTTTATACATTCTTAATGGATGTGTAGCAAGTTTAAGGCATAAAAAAATCATGATGAAAAATTATGCAAATATTTTACTATTTTTGTTACTTTTCATCAATAGCAAGCATTAATATCGGTTATTTTAGACTGTAATGTATTGAATTCTTAACTATCTTTCTATTGATATATAATTTGTCTGTATTAATATAGTCTAAATGAAAAAAATTACGAAAAAAGTTCATTGAAGAGGGAAAAATTTCATCAACAAAAATATAAATTGATTAAAATTTCTTAAATATCCATGAAATATTACCCAATTTAGTCTTATTTTCTCACATTTATGTTGTAGATTAGTAATTGAGCAGTTATAAATTTATATTTTGAGTAATAAAGTCATAAAAAGAGAGCCTTCTGTATGACCAAAAGAAAATTTTAAAGACGAAAAAAATATTTGTCATTAAACTTTTAAATATGCATTTTTCTCTCTTGTTTTTGGCTTAAATAGTTGGCAAAGAGTATTTTGAGTTGTTTTTAATTGATTTACTGGGGGTCCTCGATTTGAGTAGTTGTTTTGTTCCAAAAAATTTCTACTCAAATCGAAATCTATTCAAATCGAGGCAAAGAATCCATACAAAATTACATGTTTTGTTCCAGAGTCCAAAAAATGAATCAAAACAATGAAAATTTTGATCATTTTTCGCACATTTTACCTCGTTTCTTAACTTTTCCTTTGTGTTTTAGATAACTTAATTTATTTCAACGCATATTCATATTGTTTTTAAACGGAAATTAACAAAAAAAATGTTTTTGAAACAAAACAAAAATATGAGAACCTTGCAAATGTTATTTCACTGAACAATTTGTAAGGTTTTTGAATTTGAACTTTTTAAAATCGTTGATTTTATATAGATTTTTTAAATTTTTACTTTAATTTTGTAACTTTAGTATTGTTTTTTCTATCAATATGATAAGTTCACGCTTATCGCAGTAAAATTTATGTTTTAAAATTATTTTCTGAAATGTTTTTATCAAAAATATTTGTTTTGTAAACAATTCAAATCGAAGAAAACAGGAAGAAATCTACTCAAATCGAATATTTTGGTGGGTAATAAATTTTCTGTTCAAATCGAATCTACTCAAATAGAATCTACTCAAATCGAGGACCCCCAGTACATAAATTTATACTGCATAAAATGTAAAAAAATATTATGAAATATTTTTCAAGTTTCAACATGACTTTTTTCATAGTATTGGCTCATAAAAATATATCTTATCGTGCAATATTAAAATGTAATTCTACCTAATTACTAATCTACAACATCTATGTGAGAAAATAAGACTAAATTGGGTAATATTTCATGGATATTTAAGAAATTTTAATCAATTTATATTTTTGTTGATGAAATTTTTCCCTCTTCAATGAACTTTTTTCGTAATTTTTTTCATTTAGACTATATTAATACAGACAAATTATATATCAATAGAAAGATAGTTAAGAATTCAATACATTACAGTCTAAAATAACCGATATTAATGCTTGCTATTGATGAAAAGTAACAAAAATAGTAAAATATTTGCATAATTTTTCATCATGATTTTTTTATGCCTTAAACTTGCTACACATCCATTAAGAATGTATAAAATTGGAGTAAAATGTTTGAACTTCATGTTTAAAGTTTAAAAAGTAAGCTTAAATAGCTTAAACATAAAAAAAATTACCAAAAAAGAATCGTCCATAATATTTTGCACGCACCTGATTTTGAATTTTAACGGTTTTTTCAAAAATTATTAACTATAGCATATTTATATTTTATCATGTGAAAGCACATGAAAAACAGTATAAGTGGTGAAAATTTCATCTAAATTGGACAACGTTAAGTATGCTTTTGAGAATAAAAACGAAATTTTTTTGACCGTCCATAATATTCTGCACGCTACTGTATATTTGGAAGGGAACATCTTAAACTACATAAAGACGTCAAACCCCGTTTAAAAAAGTATCAACCACCATCCCTGCTATACTCTCATCTGACACCCATCAAATAAAATTGAAAAACAATTTATCAAATAAAATATGAGAACAGCAAAGTCACATGAATGCTGCATAAAAAGAAGAAAGTGAACTGACCTGAAGAACTCATGACCATCTTTATACCATTTGACACTGTTGAGTTTATTGCGTCCCATTCGATACGAACATGATAATGTCACAGCATCTCGAATGTCTGCAAATTCTGGTATTTGAACATCTGTTAAGTGGACTGAATTTGATAGAGGAATTACTGAAAATAATGTAAAAATATTGATTAGATAAGTTTGAGATGTTTCAGTTGCAGTTGCTAGCTTTTTAAATTAAAAATTCATTGAAAAGTTTCTATCGACCTTATTAAATAAAGGAGAATATTAAATAATACACACATTTAAATGCATTCAATCAGCTCAATTGTGTTGGGAAAATTTAGCACTCATGGTGTAGTTTAGTAAGGAATAAAATTATATAGGAGAAGGAACAACTGCCTTTCATTATTCAGAGTAGATTTGTAGGTAAGTATAGACTTTTGAAAAATGTGTGGATGGACATTTTCAATGAAAGGTAATCCATTGGTCTACAGAAGTCAATTGACATTGCATCGACTAAGTTCGTAGTCTAGAAATGAAAATTTTACAAAAACTTCAAGAATTTGTAAAAGACAAGTTCCTGCCAAAAAAGGACCAAAACCGATTCATTGAATTTTCAGAGTTTTTCATTTCTGAATCGATTGTGAATATTTTTGGACTAACGAGTCTTCCTTCACGTCAATCTACAATCGGAAATAGATGGAAAACAGTTATTTTGAGAGTTTCGGTGATTAGTTTAATATTGTTGATAGTTTTATCAGCAATGAGTATGATAATTGCATTAAAGAACAACGGCTCACTGGTCATCATGGCTGAAAATGTTTGCGGAATTACTGGCTCAATATTAATGCTAGCTAAAGTTTATGCTATTTTTTATTATCATCGCGAGAAAATTGACAAAATAATCAATACATCAGAAATGTATTATCCACAAGACAACTGGAATCAGCAGGTCTTAAAAGTGTCAGGATACTATCAAGCACTCAAGAATCATGAAGCAGTTGGAATCACATTCTACACAATGGCATGCATTTTTTACCTAGGCACAATATTTGTTCTTCAACTATATAACTTGATCACATCACATGAACTTGGAGTTCACTTGATTCTACAGCTTTACTTCCCATTCGATCAAGCTCAAGCATTTGTCTTCATTCCGCTGAATATTGTTGCATTGTTTTCTATTACTTCTGGAATGTATTTCCTTTTAATGACTGATTTGCTATTTGCTGAACTTGTGGCACTACCTGCAATGGAATTTCATATTTTAGGACAACTTATAAGTGAGATTCAACCTGCAGATGACCAGGAAAGGGCACTTGATGATCTGAAGAAGCTTGTTAACGTTCACGACGATTTAATTGAAGTTACCATACTATTAGAGGATATCTTTTCGCCAATATTGTTCATCAATCTCTTCGAAATTATCGCTATGATGTGCTCATTGGCATTTATGTCATTTGTAAGTACTTGAGGTCAGGGGCGTAGCCAAAAAATTTTTAAGGAGGGGGCCCATTTTCGAAAATTAAAAAACCGTTATTTTGTATCCTTAAATCTATATTCATTCTTAATAAGTTTAAATATTTAATTCATTATTCATCGAATAAATTTAATTTTTCGTGCTGATTTTGACATTTCTTTCATCACTTCCTCTACATTAACTGGTTCTTCTCTATAAAAACTTAATAAAGCAATTATTAGATTTTCGTAAGGGGGGCCCGGGCCCCCTATGGCCCCCCCCCTGGCTACGCCCCTGCTTGAGGTTACCAAGAACATTTTGTTATCCTCTTGATAAGCTCAGAATCCGAATTCTTTGTATTTCAGGCAGGAATAGGTTGGATGCTTTCCATCAGGTATTTTTTCTTGTTCCTGAGTACATCTTGGAATGCCTACAATGCTTGCTTATTTGGGAATCACTTGAGCAGGTAAAATAATAAGTTAAAAATATTTTGGGGCCATTCACTTATGACGTCCAGGGGGGGGGGGTCAGCAAGAAAAGAACAATAGAAATTCTTGGAAATCCATTGTATTTTTTTTTTTGAAAAATGACAGTTATTTTCGGACGTCATAAGTGAACGATTCCTTTAACAATTTATTTTTTTAAATTTTCATTCCATTTGGCAACAAGTGCTTCATCGAAGGTTGCCGAGGAACTATATAATGGCAACTGGCTTGATGGAAATCGACAATATAGGAACTTCATTCAATTGATAATGACATGAGCTCAGAAGGAGCAGATTTTGACTGGATTGAATTTTTTGGATGCAAATCTAGAAACTTTTAAATGGGTGAGGAATTTTAAGTTTAAAATATTATGAAATTTTAATTGTTGTCATTTCTACATCGCTAATCTTACATATTCATATTATACGGTGCTTGTCGCTTTGTATGATTCAGAATAAATCAACAGTCTTTATATTTTATCAAGCTACACAAATTTTCATGTTTAGATGCATTGATAGCAAAGATTTAAAATGTTTAATATCATACAATTAAATGGCTTATTAAAGGATCAATTTATAGAGCAATAGCGTTACTTGGCAATGACAAAACTGTCATTTAAAAACATTCTACATCGAAGATCAGTTTTGACTTTAGTCCAGGCGCATAGCCAGGGGGGGGGGGGGATTTGGGGGACAAATCTCCCAACGTAAATAGAAATTTCTTTATTTTGCTAGAATTTTTATGAAAAAATCACAAAAATCCCCCCCTCCCCCCCTCCTCCCTTAAATTTTTCCATACAAAAAAACTTTTGTCCCCCCTCTTCAAATTCCTGGCTACGCCCCTGCTCTACTCATCTAAAATTCAAGATTTAAAGCACACAACCCAATGCATTCAAATATTATTGAAATACCATAAATATTTATTTCTGTTTGGTAACCTACAAATAAAAAATAATCTTCTTATAATATGATACGATAATACACATCATAAACCTATAATGTAGGTATTTTACAGTCAAAAAAGAGAGAAGGAAAAATCGTAATAAAATCAAGTTAGTGAAAATATTTTCTTGACATGTTTAAAAATCAGAACGAAGGATTTTTCATGCATTTTCTGCCTATCAAAATGAATATAAAGTGGGAAAAATGAGAAAATGTTCATCACCTGCCCTGTTTGGGGAGGATAAAGAAATGAAATACTTTAAATTCCTTTCAAGTTTGAACATTACATTGCTGTTTGGTGCTACACAGTAGAAAAAAAAATATTTGTGTGTAAAATGCGTGAGATAGCTTTTTTATTATTGTTCTATGCTGTATATTTTGCTTAAGGGTGCGGAACTGAACAAAAAATAATCAAAAATGATTAAAAATGATTAAAAATGTTCAAAAATGTTTCAAAATATTCAAAAATGTTCAAAATGATTAAAAAAATTCAGAAATGATTAAAATTGATAAAAATCTAATTTATCGGTTCCGCACCCTTGATTTTGCCTTGTTGTTTCTCGACTAACAAATCCGACAAGCATCTCAAAATTTTGCTTTTATTGTCGGGGAATGGTTAGGCTTAGCTTAATTTTTAAGTTTTTGATTCAAATAAAAAACTGAATTTTCACAACTCCTCTCCCAATTTGTGGTGAAAATTTTCTTTAAGACCTTCATGGCGAGCCAGTTGTGTAGTCAGGAATGGGAGGGTCAGGAGGGTGGGGGTTCTGGATTTTTGCGAATTTTTTATAAATATCCCAGAAAAATTATGAAGTTTCTCATGACGAAGGGGGTTTTGCCCCCCCCCCCCCTCCAAATCCCAAAATCCCCCCTTTCCTTCTGGCTACACGCCTTTTCTCCGTTCCTTTATTTAGAACGCAAAAAATTGAAGTCATGGTAGCTTCACCCATTCGAAACTGGATCAATTTTTAATCTCAATCATTTCTTGTTTCACATTCAATTATACCCCCCCCCCCCCCCCCCCCACATTATATTTTTTCCACAAAATTTCCATAACAAGCAATCCAAAAATAAACATTGCTTAAAAAATAAAATTTATAGTTGTTATGGCAAGATCTATTTTTGTTTCAGCAAGAAGAAAAAAAACAGAATCTGTCTGTTGTGCTGTTAAAGCTTTAAAGATATTTATTGTTCTCTGGAGAAAAATCTCATCAGAATTAAATTTGTTGAAAAGATTGGGGAGGAGATGGAAAGGTAGGAAGCGTAGAACGATAATAAAAAGGAGGAAAATAACGACTTTTATTTGCTTATTTATTTATAGTGTGCTGACTTTAGGCGATGAATTGCAACTGACAACGAGAATGAATTTGATTTTTTTGTTTGTTTTGCTTTAGGGGAACAACTTCTTGGTATGAAATTTGGACTATCTGATTTTTTTTGGATGTGTTTATTGGGTTTTGGATTGTATTTAGTAATTGCTGTCGGTTGATTCTATTTTTAAAGATATTTCCTGAAAATTGTACAATTTGATATTCTTAATGACAGAAGCTTGGCAACAACAGCAAGGTTGTCAGCATAAAATTCTACATTTTTTACCAATCAATCAAATTTTTAAAAACTAATAAAAAACAGCTTAAATTGTCCTTAAACGATGAATTTTCACTCCCACCTCAAAAGTCATTCAAGTTTTAGAACTTTTCTGCTTTCTTTCCCCCTTCGCAAATTTTCAACACTCAACATGGAGAGAAGATTTACATTCTTTTAAGATTTTATCGTGGTTAAATGTAAGAAATTCCTCACAATCCCCTAAAAAGTAAAAACTTTTTATCACCCGAAAAATTCATTCTCATTTGGCAAAAGGAATGGCGTAAAGTGCAATAATAAAAGGAATTCTCTGAAATGTGAAATTCACAAAATATTACCTACAACATGTGGGGGTGGTTATGAATGACGTCAATTATAAAATCAACTTTTTAGACAGCTTGCTAAGGAACTTAAGCTTCATTTAGATGAGGATTGTTTTTTAAAAAAAAAATTGATGTTGGTTTAGGCAGAGAAGAAGCTTCAGCTAGAAACCTGCCCCCAAAAATCCAACCTTAAATGTTAAACGTCATTTTTAAACAACCCCTATTAAAAAAGACAACAGAAGGGAGATAAATATTTGAAAAGTGGCTAGAGGAAAGAGCTATAAAAATAAATCAATGAATAATTTTTGTCTCTCCCTTTTTTCTATCATTTTCTTAGCCTTTCATGGCTACTTAAACACAACGCCAAGGCCAAGAGGCATACGAAATAATCATTATTTTTATATTTTTTATGGATATTTATCAACATTCTGTTTATGAAGTCAATTCTTTCAACAATGGCCACAATGGCGTCATAAAAATGTGATAAAAATTGGAATTTATTCTTTTTATTATCAGTTCTTCTTCTTTTTGGTATCAGAAATAAATGCTTCCTAGACTTTAAGTTTCAATCAATAAAGATTTATCAGTTTCTCCTCCTTTGTGATTAATTATATGCATTTTGAAATCATTAAAATTTAAAATTTTCAACAAAGTGATTAAATAAAATTATATTGACAGTTTTTCGTCCATTATTTACATGAGAAGCTACACATTTTTCATCACAATGCTTCACAAATAAATATTGTTGCATATTCCTATGAGGTCATTTGCATTCAACGTCAGTCAAGAGAAGACGAGCGTTTAATCAAGGGGAAAACATCATAATAAATTGATTTATTTTTCTTCTATTTTCCCACCATTAAGGAAGTGGAGAAACTTAAAAGAATCTCATGGAAAGTCACATTAAACGACTAAGAACTAACCCCGAATAGCACAAGTCGGTTAATCGAATAGAAATTCGGTGCAAAGCCTGCATGACTCTGGCATGGTGCTGGTATTGATTCAAATCTAGAGTCAAACCTGCTTTGTGCAGGATTTCTGATCGATTAGCCCACTTGTGCCATTCGGGAACACTTTTCGAGCGAAAGACACATTTTTTTCGATAAAATCGGTGTCGATGAGATCTAGGGTGAACATCTGCGTAGTTTTACAACAGACAGTCCTGTATTTCAAAACCCTGTCCTGTATAAATTTGAAAACTTTGTTCCAGGTCCTGTATTTTTTTCACGAAAATTTCCGTTAATTTTCGAATTTTACTCTATGTCCTGTATTTTTTGAAAAAATTTACCAAAAGTCCTGTATTTTCATGAAAATTAGATGGTAACCCTAATGAGATCTCAGCTCTAGGGGTTAGTTTCTGGGGTCCTCAAGGCAATCTTGGATAGCTATGATTAGGATAGTGATTAGGGTGCGATTAGGGTAGTGTTACCCAAAGATCTCTTTTATTCCTTGCATGAGAAAGCCATGACACTTCCACTGCTGTCTCAGTTGCATCGAGTCAACGAGGTACTAAGAGGCGGCATTATATAATATTGTGTGAAGGGCCCTTTTCAGCTGGAGGCACTGCGATTCAATTTGTAAAGAATCAACACGGCACTATAAGCTCACGAGTGATAAAATAGAGTTTAGAACTTGACGCCACATTGCCAATAACTTGAACACTTTTGTCGCTCGGGATAAATACCGAACTGCATTATCGTTATGTCCTTGAATTTAACTCGGTTCTTAATTTCAGTTAAAAAAGTGACTTGAAATAAAAATCTGTTCAGTCCATGGACATTATTTGATTGAGTGACAAGCAAAGTTGAAATTTTTAAAGCTATGGAAATTTTGAGCAAAATTAAAAGATTTTTAAAAAACAAGTTTCAAGCTCGAAAGTTGGAAAAAAGTGAATTTATAGAATTTCCTAAATTTTTCTGGTCTGAAAGTCTTTTCAATTTTTTTGGATTCAATATTTTGCCAAATACTTCAGATGACTGTAACAGCAAATGGAAGAGGATCGCCTACTCAACAGCAATCATCAACTTGATACTAATGTTTATTCTTGTGCTGATCAGCATGTCAATTGGTATATTTAAAAGCAATTCACTTCTGATTTTGTCTGAAAATTTGTGCGCAATTACTGGCTTATTTGTGATTTTTGTGAAGTTTTATTCAGTTTTGTATCTGCATCGTGAGAAAGTTGATGAAATTATTGCAACTTTGGACACTTACTATCCTCATGACTCTTGGAATCAGCAAGTTTTTCAAGTGTCTACTCATTTAAGGATCCTCAAAAATCTTGTGAAGCTAGGAGTCGTTCTATACGTCCTGGGATTCGCAATGTTTGACTTTATTCCGATATTTTCACAACTTTATTGCTATTTTTCGTCTCAGCCATTCGAGTTGACTACAATTTACCAGCTTTATACTCCATATGATCAAAACACCTTCAGCTACATAATTGTAAACATTATCGCAATGCTTTCACACTCTTCTGGATTAGCTTTCATTTTTATGACTGATTTGCTGTATGCTGAACTTGTGGCATTAACTGCGATGGAATTAAGTATTTTGGGTAAAATGATGAGTGAGATTGATCCACAAGATGACCAAGAGAATGCACTAAGTGACTTAAAAAAGTTCGTTAAGGTTCACGAAGACTTATTTGAAGTTATTGACAAGCTGCAGGACATATTTTCAGTCATTTTATTCATGGATCTTTTTGGAGTTATAGGGATGATGTGCACATTGGCATTTTTAGCATTTGTAAGCATCTAGTGTTGTCCATGATATCAAATATTAATAAAAAATTAAAAAGCATTTCTTTGAACTATTTTAAAAAATCACTTTATAGGCTGGAATCGGATGGCTCTTCTTCACACGGTTTTTCTTTTTATTCTTGGCAGCATCGTGGAATGCGTTTAATCATTGTTTCCATTGTGATCGCCTGAGCGAGTAATTAATAAATTTAAATTCATAATTTAATTTTAAATCTTTTCAAATTCATAGTGCTTCATTGAGCGTTGCTGACGGTATTTATAATAGCTCTTGGCCAAATGGAAACCACAAATATAGAAAATATGTTCTGATAATAATGAGCCGAGCTCAGAAAGCTCAGGTATTGAATGGATTGAGCTTTTTGGATGCAAATTTGGAAACCTTTAAATGGGTAATTTTGAGTATTAATCTGAATAAATTTTTAATAATTTCCTTATTCATTTTCAAACAGATCACAAATCTGACATATTCATTTTACACAGTGCTTGTTACTTTGTATGAATCAGATTAGATGTGCTTACTGAATGATTGTTTAATTAAAAGGGATTCGAATAGATAAACACGAATTTAATTCATTTGATTTAATGTATTAGAACGAACTAAAGTTATTAGTCTTTAATACACCAGTGGCCATGAACTTCTGCTTGCTACTTTACTAGAACTCTTTTTTAATGGCAGAGGTGCTCATTTGTAAGTTTTTGCAGGACTGCCTTGGCTGATAATGCTGTTTAATCTGGCAATCCAGGAATATCTTTGCTATAAAAGCTGAACGAATTTATCTCTTACTTCTGTATAGGAACTAGCCTGAATTATTTTAAGCGATAGGTCTTATACATTACTTGGCCAATTTAAAATTACTTGGCGTACAACCGTAGATAAGGAGGCAGAACAACAAAAGAAACTAGCAGTAGTAGCTTTTATAGCTCGGGACAGAAACCTATTCAACCACTTTATTGACGCCCTACAATTCACAGTAGATCAATAGGAATTAATCATCATCATCATCAATAGGTCTTTGCTCTGTAGAAGACGAGACAGTCTTTGTCTATGTCTATACTTCTCTTTCTTAAGCGTTGCTCATTGGATACTTAAAAATGCTTTAGATCAGTGTTTTCCAACCTTTTTTGTGCCACGGCACTCTCACACAGAATACAGTTTGTGGGAGATCCCAAATTTTTTCACAGGACACTAGTGTGCCGTGGTACATGGATGGGTTAGCCATCACTGCATTAGTTACTTTAATGTTTTATTAAGGTTAAAAGCAACAAGCTAATAATTTTGTTGACATTCAGTTTTGAAATATTCATAATGTTTTCACAACTTTAAAAATTAAAGTGCAATACATTCATGTAAATATATTATTAAAGCCTGCTGTTGTAGAGTATCCTTAACATTAAAGCTTTGAAAATAAATTAATGTCTTTAAGTTCTTGATTAATAATTTGTAATCTGATAATGTAGCAATAAAAATCGATTTAAATGTGAGATATTTTGTTATTATTCCATCGAATGTCATATTTCTTTATTAAAGTTCGATAATTTTCGTAATATTAAGCGCCATTTATGTGCAAATGAGAAGAAACTTTCAGAATCAGGCGCGTAGCCAGGAGGGGGGGTTGGGACCCCCAATGTAAATTTCTGTTTTTTGCTAGGGTTTTTATGAAAAAATCACAAAAATACCCCCCCCTCCTCCCCTCTTAAATTTTTCCATGCAAAAAAAATTTTTGTCCCCTCATAAAATTCCTGGCTACGTCCTTGTTCAGAATTATTACAAAATTGTAATCATTTGTTTTTTCAGCATAATTATCAGCACAATTGAATGTCAATAAAGGATAGTTTACTTATGGCGTTCGAAATCAAAAGGATAACAACGGATTTCCAGAAATTTCACTGTTTTTTTGTTGCTGACCCCCCCTTCTTCCCCCTTCCCCACATGGACGTCATAAGTGAACGGCCCCTAATAGGGAAATAGAAACAAGACTAGGCTTTCACGATTTCCCGGTCCCGACACATTTCCTGTGTTCCAAGACAGTGCATAATTCCAGTCAATCTTGTCATTAATCAAATTCTTTAGTCTTCAAACATCCAACTTCCCATTCTTACCAATATAAATACACTCTTTAAGAATTCTTCTTTAATTTCTTTCTGTCCACATGACAAGAAATTCAATCCACTAAAGAAGTCATAGCTAATATCGAGACATTAAGTCGGATATGAGCCATTCCCATGAGACTCAACATCAATTGAGTGCTAAAATTTCTTTAATAACTTTCATGAGCTCAAGTGATTTTCAAGAACATATTTACATTGTAATTAAATACTTACTATGCGCTAATAAAATCATTGAGATCAGATATGTCCATCGTCTTTTCATCATCATCCAATTCCCATTGACCAAATGGCTGAAGAAATGAAATCAAGAAAAAAAAGGAGAAAAGGAAAGAAATTTAACAATTTACATTCTATTCGTTTTGTGTGCTTTCTTTTCTCGATGTTTGTATTTAGTAAATACCACAGTGTTTAATGTAACGAGATTAATCCAAATAGATAAGCATATTTTTCTTCTGTGTGTGCTGCTGGGAAAACTAAAAGAAGAAAGGAAAGTTTTTGCTTCCGAGTTGTGTTTGAGACAAAAATGACGATAGTTTGGGTTGGTTTTGACTGTCTGGGGTTTATTATAAGGAGCTTAAGAACCATTCTTCTTTGGTGCTCCTTTACGAGAGCTTAGGATGTGGTGAGTATCTACTCCTGGTTTCCAATAACTTAATAATGTCTAAAACTACAGTAAGTTCCATTAATCTCATAAATCTTTCATATGCGCTTTAGTCACTCAACAACAATATTCATTTCCAAACTCAGTCCCTTTTTCTGCTTTCTTGCGCTTTTATTATAGATTTTAATGTACCAACAGAAGCTAGTAGTATTTTCATTTCGCTTCAAAAAATAATAGAAAGACATACAAAAAAGAGAGATACCGAAAAAATAGACAATTCCGAATAAAATATCAATGTAGATACAAAAGAATATTTTCTATGTTTTTCCTCTTGGTTTGCTCTGCTCAATGTGTATTTATTCTAAAAATGAAGACAATAACAAACTTGTCTTTTGTCTGCAATTTGAGATTTTTTTTTTATTTTCTTTATTTGCTTTTCACTTAAGATGTCTAAATCTTGAGATGAACGTAAGTTAACATCATAATTTTGTGAATATTTTTTATTTCATTTATTAAGCATTATAAGTTATAACTTTGTTAATTTTTACTGAGGAAATTTAAGAGTCTAGGGACTTAATATGGCTATGTACTAGAATATGGCTTAGTACTAGATTATGACTAAGGATTAGAATATGGCTAGGTACTAGAAAAAGGCTAGGTACTAGAATATTGATAAAGACTAGAAAGTATGGCAAAGTACTAGAATACGGTTATGGAATAAAAATTATGGCTGAGTACTAGAATATGACTAGGTACTAGAAATTATGGCTAAGTACTAGAATTCAGTTATAGAATAAAAATTATGGCTGAGTACTAGAATATGACTAGGTACTATAAATTATGGCTAAGTACTAGATTACGGTTATGGATTGTAAATTATGGCTGAGTACTGGAATATGACTAGGTACTAGAAATTATGGCTAAGTGCTAGAATTCAGTTATGGAATAAAAATTATGGCTGAGTACTAGAATATGACTAGGTACTAGAAATTATGGCTAAGTACTAGATTACGGTTATGAATTGTAAATTATGTCTGAGTACTAGAATATGACTAGATACTAGAAATTATGGCTATGTACTAGAATACGGTTATGGAATAAAAATTATGGCTGAGTACTAGAATATGACTAGGTACTAGAAATTATGGCTAAGTACTAGAATTCAGTTATGGAATAAAAATTATGGCTGAGTACTAGAATATGACTAGGTACTAGAAATTATGGCTAAGTACTAGATTACGGTTATGGATTGTAAATTATGGCTGAGTACCAGTATATGACTAGATACTAGAAGTTATGGCTATGTACTAGAATACGGTTATGGAATAAAAATTATGGCTGAGTACTAGAATATGACTAGGTACTAGAAATTATGGCTAAGTACTAGAATTCGGTTATGGAATAAAAATTATGGCTGAGTACTAGAATATGATTAGGTACTAGAAATTATGGCTAAGTACTAGAATATGGCTATGGAATAAAAATTATGGCTGAGTACTAGAATATGATTAGGTACTAGAAATTATGGCTAAGTACTAGAATTCGGTTATGGAATAAAAATTATGGCTGAGAACTAGAATATGATTAGGCACTAGAAATTATGGCTAAGTACTAGAATTCGGTTATGGAATAAAAATTATGGCTGAGTACTAGAATATGATAAGGTACTAGAAATTATGGCTATGTACTAGAATATGGTTATGGTATATAAATTATGGCTGAGTACTAAAATCGCTAGAGCTAGAATAACTAGAATATAGCTAGAACACCATCATGATATAATTTCTTAACACATCAAGTCACTACATTGACAACAAAATTGTTCTAAAATTCACTTCCTCTTCATCCATTATTTACACATTCCAAACTGAAAATTATTGCATATTCAAAAGTCATTTCCAACATATGTGCGACACAAAAAAGAATTCCTTCAATTTATTTATACACTTTTCAAGACAATTCTTGCAACATAAACAGTAGCATCTGCTTCCCAATATCTCACATTGTCTTCACTTATGTTTATTTATATATTTTTATGCTGTTTGTTCTTGTTGTTGCTGATAATAGAGACAAAACAAAAAAAATATGAAAAACTTTATATCATTTGTCAGTGTAGCAAAAATATTTGTATTGGGCCAGAAGCATTAAATACACACATATACACAAAGTTACAGTGAGGAACACAAAGTTTTTTTTACTGTTTCACATTTTTATACGGTTTAATGAGTTTTTATTGCAAAAGTTTACAAAGCTTATTTTTGAGAAGGAAAAATAAAAATCTAGCTTCTGTTGCAAGATGGTTGGGGTAGTCTGGAGGAAAACACACAACTACTTAGCCATAAGAAACATCCAAAAAAAAAACTTTTTTACACTTTCTTGCTTCATTAACAAATCGTCACATTAAGTTCCAAATCGTTTATGTTTCAAGTTTTCCTTTTGTTCGTCGTTTGTTTTTCTGTGTTGACAGCACACAACCAGCAGAAGATTGTGGATGATGATCAGAATGTTTGAGGGAGAAGTAAAACCGAATAGAACAAGTCAGTTAATGAAGACGATATCCTAGGTCAGGACGATTTTTCGTCCTGGTTTAAGACTTGACATATGTGCAATTCCTATGTCCAGTTAAATGGAAAGCGCAAAATATGTCATTAGTCGTCCCTAAGTCTAGTTGCAAAGGCATGTCAAGGGATACTTACTCGCCATGAATAGGCAAGTCAATGACAAGCTTTTAACTTGTACTTTGTCCACTCGGGAGGATTTCGTCTCGATTATCCGACTTGTGCTCCTTTAGAAAGCAAA